AACCACTCGGATTATCTCGGGTTATCATAGGTAGTGGCATCATATTTTTGCCTAAGATTTAAAAGTACGGTCTTGGATTTGTAGGGGAGGAGCTAGCCATTTCAAAGATTGGTTTGGGTAACAACTTGTAAGGTGAGTTATACGTGACTTTTCTAAAAAAATGGTTGCACATTTTATTTACAATTATATGCAAGCTTGCTGGATTTTTCTCTATAAAATTTAATATCATGTACGCGTAAAAATGTGCCTTATTTTATGAAATATGTTGTGTGGCAATGGGGATGTACTATGGTATGATTCCATAAAGACAAACATGCTTTGTGAGTTTGTCTAAGCCGTAAGTGCGGACATGCTGTGTGAGTCCGCCAGGTAATGCTGTGTGAGGTAGTCATCTCCCGTACGCCACTAGCTTTGTGAAGTGTATTGTTTAAACTGTATGCATGATAAATTATGACGCTTTGTGAAATCTATTTTTTTTTACGTGGTGTATGCATTAAACCGTTAACTCACTGGGCCCTTGGCTCACCCAACTCCTTTCAAAAATAATTATGCAACCAGGTCGTCTCATACACGGGAATAGTAGCAAGAGAAAGGAGAAAGTTTAGAACCGGCTATCGCGGAATAAAGGCTTGGCATGGAGACTATCCGGAACTTGATATGGATATCTTTAGACATATGTTCCTTTTAAGTTTTATTAGTTTTAAAAAGATATATATACTTCCGTTGCGTTGAACTATTTAGATTTTATGGCTTATTTATGTTTGGACGTTATTATATTAAGGAAAAAAATTGGGTCTTTACAAGTGGTATCAGAGCCTTAGTTTAAGAGAAATAGGTTATTAATTTTAGCCTAAGCTTAAACAGAAATGGAGTGTAAAAGATAGAAACGGGGAAAAGGTTATATGATTTAATATAGTTGGTTAATTTGCTTTTAAGTTTTGAAAGTGTGTTGGAAGATGATAGATTCTTCACTATGGTTTTGTAGGAATATGGTTTATACCAAGCATACTAGGAGCATTGGCCGTCGAGGAGGTAGGGCCGGAGGTAATGCGGTAGCTGGACTAGGACCAAGGGGTGGAGTCGGGAAACGTGACCGTACAAGCTCTAGCCGTAGTAGCAGACACTCTAGGAGGTTGAGGAACAGTTCTAGGGGTCACGTGAGTGTTTCAAGGGCTGAGTCATCTCAACCCACACCTTTAGAGGATTCTTCCTATGATCCAACAGAGGAACCTTATGAGGAGTACACCCCACGGACGCCTACTCGTGAGGACTTAGAAGAGAATATTACGAATTTGTGTGGTGAGAATAATGAACTGAGAACAGAATTGTCTAAGATTCAAGTGGAAAAGACCAAAGTGGAATTGTGGCTGAACAACTTGCAAATGGAACATGTTAACTTAGGGGGAGAGTTAAACAAGGTGTTTAAAGAAAATGATGAACTTTGGAAGAGCAACCATGACATGGCATGGAAGTGTGTGGAGTTAGAGTGGGAAAGAAGGATTGCCGCCCGGTCTTGGAAAGTGCGATTGGGAGACCGTGCTCGCTATTACCATGGAGTGGCCTTGAAATATGTAAACTTGACCAAGGAGTATTTTTCCAGCTGGGCACATCAATACCATCATGGGCCGAGCTTGGGATTTATCTGGAAATACCGTCCAGATAACACTTATGAGGAATTTGTGAAGATCGTTAATTACCCCATGCCTTGAGTGAAAGGGTGAAAAAGAAACATAGTCTTGCGTTAAGTACTTTTTGGTTAGGATATTTTTGGATATTAACCAGCCTTGAGCTTGGTTTATTTTGTTTTATTTTGGTTTATGTAATAGCCAGTTTGGCGTAGTAAGCAAGACTTATGTATTGACTTATCTTTTGCAAGCAATATATTATTTTAGTGTTTAATCTTCTTGAGTGAATGTTGGATGAGTAAGTTATGAATAAATATGCTTATAAATGTAAATGTTTAACGCACACAGCAATAATGTCGCGACGGTCAGGAAGGACAGCATCGGTTACACACGATGCAGTAAACCCACCACCTATAGGAGCTACCCCTATTGTACAAGAGACACGACCAGCATCGGTTGCGGCCGTAAGGACCGCTAGCACGCGGGGACGAGGTTGAGGAAGAGGAAGGGGGTGAGGTAGGACTCAAGCGACACAAAATGAACCTGAGCCCTCTATGCAAGGAAGCTCTGCATCTAGAAGAGGTCGAGGCAGGGGGCGAGGACGAACCCGGGCAACCGTCGCTAACCCTGTGGACATCATTGCTCAGGAGGTGACAAGAGCCTTGCAAGCTGCCTTGCCTGCAGTCATAGCTCAGGTACGAGAGGCAGAGCTGAGAAATCAGGAGGATAGGGCGATAAGCAATAGAAGAGGAGATATTAGCGATTCAAACAACAGAGAAGACCGACATGAGAGGTCAAGACCAAATAGTCCTGTCAACACGAGCACGGGACAACAAGGTTGTAATTATAAGACCTTTCTAGCATGTAAGCCCCAACCCTTTCAAGGTGACCCTAACCCAGTGGCAGCTATGAGGTGGATAAAAGAGACAGAAGTGATTTTCAAAATCAGTAAGTGTGCGGAGGAAGATAAGGTGACATATGCGACATCCATGCTAAAATCAGAAGCCCTTTTCTGGTGGGAAATAATTACGAACTTAAGGGGCGAAGAGGCTGTGGCAAGAATGACATGGGGTAAGTTTAAGGTATTATTTAATGAGAAGTTTTGTCCTCGAACTGCGATCAAGCAACTGGAAGAGGAATTTTTGAGGTTGGAACAAGGAATCATGACAGTCCGAGAGTATACAACAAGTTTTACAGAAAAAGCGAGGTTTGCCGAGCACTATGTTTCGACTGAGGAAAGACGGGTAGAACGGTACATATGGGGACTGAAAGCATCCATCCAGGAATTTGTTCTCACTATGAGTCCAACCACATTTCAAGAGGCAGTAAACGCTGCGGAAATTCGAGTGAAAGAGATGAATCGTCAAAATGCTGAGCGGGGCCAAATAAAAAGAAAATGGGAAGGTCCGAGCAATGAAACCAGGAAGCCAAAGTTTCTGGGTTCAGAAAAGAAAACATGGCAAGGGCAAGCTACTAAACTATGTCCTAAATGCAACAGTGTGCACAATGGAGAATGCATGATTAAGTCGAGGATGTGTTACCGATGTGGGAAGCCAGGACATCTGTCTCATGATTGCCAAGTTGAGCGAAGAGAGCGACTATGCTTCATTTGTAAGTCACCCAACCATATACAAGCAAATTGCCCTTAGCAGAAGAATGAGCATACTACAGGTCAAGGTGGGAATCGAATTGGAAAAAGGGAGGAAAGGCGACCTGAAGTACCTAAGTCAAAAAGAAGGGTCTTCCACATGACAGCAACAGAGGCCGAGGAGACACCAGACGTGGTGACAGGTACCTTTCTGGTCAACTCTGTACGTGCTAGAGTACTCTTCGATTATGGAGCAAACCGTTCTTTTGTGTCTACAACTTTCTGTGATTATTTGCATAGAGTACCGAAGCCCTTAAGTTCAGCCTTAGAGGTAGAAACTGCCGATGATAATAGGGTGATAATTAGAGAGGAGTATGATGACTGCAATATTCAGATAGACGGTTGTTCGATTCCATTAAAACTACTCCCTATGACTCTCGGGGAATTTGATGTAATAATTGGAATGGACTGGTTAGCTAAAAACCAGGCAAGAATTATGTGTAACAAAAAGATAATTCAGATTGAATTACCCGATAATGGAACCATAGTAATTTATGGAGATAGAAGAAATAGGAAATCTAGTATGATCTCCCTAGTCAAAGCAAGACGGTGTGTAAGAAAGGGATGCCAAAGTTATTTAGCATATGTGATAGATGACAGAAAAGAGAAAAAGAGTATGGAAGACATTGTTGTTGTGAGGGAGTTTCCTGAAGTCTTTCCAGATGACTTGACAAGTCTACCACCTGAGAGACAGGTAGAGTTTCAGATTGATATTGTACCGGGAGCTGCATCTGTAGCTCGAACACCCTATCGTCTTGCACCGTCAAAAATGAAAGAGTTGATGACTCAGTTGCAGGAGTTGTTAGACAAGGGTTTTATACGCCATAGCACCTCGCCCTGGGGAGCGCCGGTATTATTCGTTAAGAAGAAGGATGGCACAATGCGGATGTGCATTGACTACCGCGAGCTTAACAAAGTAACCATAAAGAATAGGTACCCACTTCCAAGGATTGATGATCTTTTCGATCAACTTCAGGGTGCCAGTTATTTTTCAAAGATCGACCTACGGTCAGGTTATCATCAGCTGAAGGTCCGGGAGGAGGATGTGCCTAAAACAGCTTTTAGGACTAGGTACGGGCATTATGAATTCCTAGTAATGCCATTTGGGTTGACAAATGCACCTGCAGCTTTCATGGATTTGATGAACAGTGTATGCAAACCCTACCTAGATAAGTTTGTCATTGTTTTCATAGATGATATTTTAGTTTATTCCCACACTGAGAATGAGCATGAGGAACATCTTCGCGTGGTTTTGAGGTTGCTGAAACATGAAAAATTATACGCGAAGTTTTTGAAGTGTGAGTTCTGGCTCCGAGAAGTTCAATTTTTAGGGCATGTGGTGACCCAAGAAGGTATAAAAGTAGATCCGGCCAAGGTAGACGCTATAAAGAAGTGGGAGCCACCAAGGACCCCTTCTGAGATACGAAGCTTCTTGGGATTAGCCGGTTATTACCGAAGGTTTATTCAGGACTTTTCATGAATAGCGGCACCGTTGACAGCACTAACAAAGAAAGGTGTGAAGTTTGATTGGAAATCATCTCAAGAAGAGGCATTTAGAGTCTTGAAGGAAAAGTTGAGCACCGCACCGATATTGAACTTACCAGAAGGAGCTGAAGGGTTCGTAATCTACAGTGATGCTTCCAAGCTAGGACTTGGTTGTGTGCTAATGCAACAAGGGAAAGTTATTGCATATGCCTCACGTCAACTGAAAGAACATGAGAAGAGATACCCAACTCACGACTTAGAGTTGGCAACAGTGGTGTTTGCATTGAAGATCTGGAGGCACTACTTATATGGGGTAAAGTGCCAAATTTATACTGATCACAAGAGTCTAAAATACTTGTTTGATTAGAAGGACCTGAACATGAGACAACAAAGGTGGATGGAGTTGCTGAAGGAATATGATTGTGAAATTTTATATCACCCCGGGAAGGCAAATGTGGACGCCGACGCATTAAGTCGCAAAGAAAGGAGCGATCAGGTGAATATTAAAGCAATGAGGATGGAGGTCATTTCTAGTTGGACCGGTGAACTCAAGAAAATTCAAGAAGAAGCTTTAGTAGAGGGAAACTTGAAGGGAGAGAGAATGGTAGGGGTTGGTCCGTTGCTTGAAGATAATAATCAGAGGTTAAAATGTTATAAAGGCAGAATTTGGATTCCTCGCTTGGGCAACTTCCGTAACCAAGTGTTAGACGAAGCCCATAAATCTCGATATTCCATTCATCCGGGTAACAATAAGATGCATCGAGATCTTCGTCAATCTTACTGGTGGCCAGGGATGAAGAAAGACATAGCCCATTATGTCGAAAGGTGTTTGACATGTCTACAGTCAAAGTTGAACATCAACGACCATATGGTAAGCTACAACCCCTAGAAATTCCGATGTGGAAGTGGGACCACATCACAATGGATTTTGTGACGAAACTCCCAAGGACACCAAAGGGTTATGATGTTATCTGGGCAATCGTTGATAGACTCACAAAGTCTGCACATTTTCTGCCAATTAAAGAAACGTACTCGATGGAAAGACTAGCTAAGTTGTATATAGACGAGATTGTGACTCGTCATGGTGTTCCGTTATCTATAGTTTCTGATAGGGACAGTCGATTCACCTCTACATTTTGGCAAAGCTTTCAAAGAGAGTTGGGCTCACGAGTAAAGTTAAGTACAGCCTATCACCCGTAAACAGATGGTCAAAGCGAGAGGATCATTCAAACTCTAGAAGATATGTTGCGGGCATGTGCTATCGATTTTGCAGGGTCTTGGGAAAGTCATCTTCCATTGATAGAATTTTCCTATAACAATAACTATCATGCTAGCATTCAGGTCGCACCATATGAAGCTTTGTATGGGAGAAAGTGTCGGACACCATTATGTTGGAATGAGGTAGGTGAAAAACAATTGGCTGGCCCCGAAATTGTCTAGCAAACTACCGATAAAATAAAACAGATAAGAGAAAGGTTAAAGGTAGCGCAAGATAGACAGAAAAGCTACGCCGATAAAAGACGAAAGCCGATAGAATTCCAAGTTGCGGATAAAGTTATGCTTAAGATTTCACCGTGGAAAGGCGTAGTTCGTTTTGGAAAACGAGGGAAGCTAAGTCCTCGTTATATTGGACCTTACAAGATAACTAAAAGGGTAGGTGAGGTTGCCTATAAGTTGGAACTACCTGAAGAACTTCAAGGCATCCATGACACATTTCACGTATCTAATTTAAGAAAGTGTTTGGCGGATGAGAGCACTGAGGTAACTCTTAAGGATATAAAGGTGGACAAGACACTAAGTTATATTGAAGAGCCAGAGGCAATTATCGATAAGAAAGTGAGGAAGCTAAGAAACAAAGAAATTACACTCGTGAAAGTCCAATGGAAACATCATAGGGGGCCGGAAGCAACTTGGGAACCAGAGAAGAATATGAGGTTGAAATACCCCCATTTATTTGAGTAGGGTAAATTTCGAGGACGAAATTTCGTTAAGGGGGAAAAGTTGTAATAACCCGAAAGAAAAAAAAATAAAGAAAAGAAATAATTTTTGGTGGTTTCAAGTATTGGGTATATAATTGCAAGAAAGTGAAGAGTTAGACACTTAATTAGAAGGCAACTCAATCATCCATGTAACCACCGATCATTTACTCTTGGGTTGATTGGTATGCTTTGAAACGGTCAATAGGCACATATAAAAAGGATGCTAAAGAGTAGCCAAAAAAAAAAAGGAAGTCGATTTAGAAGGAGAGCTAGTGGAGTCCAAAAGGAAGACTAAGGTCGCGGCGACGCATCTAGTTCTACATCAATAGGTAAATGTTTCGTACCCGTTGTCTAAATTTTTATTTAATCACTTTAGTCGTTCGATCGTTCGGGTGGGTTCCCGTAGGGCAATGGTGGTCAACAGTCACCACTAGCACCTCCACCATCCTTCACAACGGTAATATCCATGACATTGGGTTATCAAAACCCATTCCCTCGTCTTGGTACCGAGAGTTAGAACCTATTGGTTCATGCAAGCGTCGGTAAAAAAAATGAACAGAAGTAATAATCGTTATCAGTCGCTTGCTTGGTAGGGTATCAAGGTAAATGGCTTGGACTGTGCATATATATATGTGTGTGTATATATATGCACATATATAATAACAGTAAGGGTTGGGTGGAATTTGAAGTAGAGATGCACATATATTCATTTCATGCATACGTAGTCATGCATAGTTATGCATAAGTTGTATTTCGTATATATATATATATATATATATATATATATATATAAGTTGAAATAACGTGGAAATTAAAGTTCTCGGCTTATGGATTGTTAAAATAAATAGTGTAAAGGAAACCACTCGGATTATCTCGGGTTATCATAGGTAGTGGCATCATATTTTTGCCTAAGATTTAAAAGTACGGTCTTGGATTTGTAGGGGAGGAGCTAGCCATTTCAAAGATTGGTTTGGGTAACAACTTGTAAGGTGAGTTATACGTGACTTTTCTAAAAAAATGGTTGCACATTTTATTTACAATTATATGCAAGCTTGCTGGATTTTTCTCTATAAAATTTAATATCATGTATGCGTAAAATTGTGCCTTGTTTTATGAAATGTGTTGTGTGGCAATGGGGATGTACTATGGTATGATTCCATAAAGACAAACATGCTTTGTGAGTTTGTCTAAGCCGTAAGTGCGGACATGCTGTGTGAGTCCGCCAGGTAATGTTGTGTGAGGTAGTCATCTCCCGTACGCCACTAGCTTTGTGAAGTGTATTGTTTAAACT